TATGCGTGGCCTCATTCGTGCCATATCTGGTCATATCGGGTGTGTTGTGGCCGTTGGAAGGCATGCACTTTATGCTGCAAACCATATCCCGGTTCACTCCCCAGACGTTACCCATAATCAGCTTAAGAAATATTATGCTCAAAGGCTGGGGTCTTACCTATACTATGGTTTGGTCCGGATTTATGGTTACAATCGGATGGCTTATTATATTTATAATACTGGCCACCATTTTCAGCACATTTAATGGTTAAATAGACATTAATTTATAGTTATTTATTGTTTAATTTTGTAATATTTTTTATTCACTTTCAATTCAAACAAACAACAAATCTAATTTATTTGTGTTTATAAATGTATATTTTATATTTATTTCATTAAAATCTTTTATTTATTCAATATTTACCAATTTATTCATAAAATTTATTATGTGTAGTCAAAATTCATATTAAACACATACTTTTAAATTAAAAGTTTAAAGTGAATATTATTTTAAATAGTTTTTCCTAAATTCATAGCTATAAGCGATAGTAGTGTTATGGAGAGGACAGGGATGGTGAAACTCCTGGCCGATGGGCCGAATCCATTTGGTGGCAATCCATTTGGCGCCCACCAGTACAGGACACCCACCATGCATTGTCAACGGGTCGATTGCACCCCATCTGTACTCGTTGTACCAAAACAGCGCCGAACCCCGTTGTGGCCAAACGGCGACATTGACATAGGGGAAAACAGTGGCTCCACCCGCGTCCACGTCGCTCAAGTAACTGATCCAAGTGGCGATCCGTTGCGGACCAGTGACCGGCCCGCCGGGTATCATATGAAACGAGTCGTAATGGTGTCCATAATAGCCGCCAACACTGTATCGAATGACATTCATGTCTTCGGCGGTACTCATGTCGAGACCCGTTATGGCACTCATGAGTGATTTTCATCCGAGTCTACAGTGATATTCATGGATTCCGTCATGTATTTAATGGCTTCTTCATAGTCTTTAAGTTTATAATAGGATAACGACATGTATTTGAGTATATCTGCCCTCAACTCCATTGACACACCACTGTCTTCAATGCTGGCCCTCATAAGAGCTGTTTCTAACCATTGAATTGAGTCCATGTATTGTTGGCTATCGTATGATTGTCTCCCAATTGTGAAACAATCAAAACTTGTTAACATATTAGTGTCCGTTTGGGTAAACACTTTTTGTTCACCAAAAGTGGTCATGTATTCAATTAAACCGGTGCTCACGAGTCCTACGTCCAGTTTGTATGTCTTCACCAAATTAATGACACCACTCACAGCATCTGATATTAAAATTATTGTTTAATTAACTTTCAAATAAAACTAATTTATAATTTTTTTTAATTGTTTTTAACTTACAATACCTGATAGACTATAATTGTGAATAGTGTTGATGTGTTGTATGTATTGAGAGATTATTTGAATTAAGTCTTGGTTTGGTTTAACCCTATCGTCCACTTCACGCCATTCAGTGGCCATCCGTTGAATCAGTTTATAGACACCGATTGGATGTCCTAAATGCAAGTCTTTGTCTTTCATCACCGACTCGTGCAGATGTGTCAACTCGTGAGACAATTGTCTTAATCGTGTTATTTTTTGCTCTTCATTTGATAAATAATTTCGCACAGTATTTAACAAAACATTTTCACTTAGCAATAGTAGTCCCACTTTTGGATAATTCAATTCAATACAACATATTTGTGATGACAATAACGATGCGAACAAAACAATGTGTGATATTATGGTTAAGATTTTCATGTTTTTGTTTAATTTTTACTTTAAGTTTGTATAATAAATATTAAACTCTAAAATTTCATTAACAAAAATGTTATTTTTGGCAATATTTTCAAACCAAACACAAGAGTTATTTAATCATTACTTAATAATTGGCAATAAAAGTATACATGTGTTTAAAATGTGTTTTATTTTGAGATTAATCATGATTTACAGACATTTAAAACTTATGAGTTTAGAAAAATAAAACTATAACTTGTTTTCTAATAAATGATCTTGATGCTTTTGAAGAGCGCATGACTTAGAAAACTCTTGGCCACTCTCTGGGATCCATTTTGTGGCAACCAATTTGCTACCGACCAGTACTGGGCATCCGGTGTGAAGTGTCCGCATATCGATTAGACCCGAGCTCTTCAGGTTATACCAGAACAGAGCCGACCCTTTGGTCGGTGTTATCGTAACATTCAAATAGGGAAACACTGTTAGACCGCCGGCGGACACATCGCTCAGGTATATCATATAAGTGGCCACTCTATTCATGTCCACCGCATAGACATCATCAGTGATGGTGGCGTTGGCCGGCGGGAGGGCGTCGTAATGGATGGCATAGTGACCGCCGATGTTATATTTAAACACATGATAATCAGATAGTTGTCGCAAGTTTAAGCCGGTTATAGCGCTGATCCGTTGGGTAACTCCGCGGAGCACCGGGTGGTTGGTGTTGTTAAGTTGACTCACATCAGCCAATAGTGTGTTGCTATCATGTGATGAGTGCTGATGACTCAATTGTACTAAAAGTCTTATGGTTTGGATCTCCTGTTCAGATATGAAATCATGAATGACCACAATATCAGGTCTTTTGTACATCTCTTCTACTTTAATACGATTTAACCGCAAAAATGGTATTTCAGTCGTGTTTAAGTGATAGCATTTCAATTGAAATCTTATGGACTGATCCAATGAGATGTGTCCCCGACATAGATCGCGGACATGTGCCGTGAATTTATTTCCATGTGATTGTTTGTGTATCTCTTCCTCTGTTTGGTTCTCAAAATTGTATTCATCTTTCATTTTCTAAACGAGAAACACATTTAAAATATTAATTATTATTAAAATCAATTTCATAAAGTGTGTCTCTACTGTATACAGTATTACTTTACCATTAATTTTAATGTTAACTCTTTTGAGTGTTTATGCTTTGAATTGGGATTTTTGAAAATTGATTGAATCATGAAATCCATGGCTCTGTTATAATCATGTATTTTATAATAAGAAAGTGATAGGTATTGAAGAATATCGGCTCTCAATTCATCGGACACACCATTAACTCCATTATCCGCACTCATGAGCGCCACTTCTAGCCATTGAATTGAATGATTGTAATCCTTGTAATCATAGGATTGTTTGCCGATTAGATAGCAATCACTAGCCGTTAGGTTGGTATCGGACAATATATTTCTAAATAACAATTGTTTGTCATTTGTATTGTATTTAATCAAACCGGTGGCCAATAACTGTATGTCCAAAGGGTATGCCCTTAATAAACGCGATATACCTCTCGCGGCCTCTGTTTTATTAAATGATAAATTAATGATAATTGTATTTTAATATTTACTTAACTTACTGGTCAAGTCATGCGTGTATATTAGCTTTAAATTAGTCATTTGATCCGATAGTGATCGCAACCATTGTCTGTCAGTTGTTATGAATTGTTGTATTTCTTGCCATTCATTGACCATACGTTTGATGAGAAGATAAACACCAATTGGATGTCCTAAATATGTGTCCACATCTTTGGCTGTGATTTCATTCAATACGAGTAACTGTTGTGACAATTGTCTCAATTGTGACAGTCGTTGCTCTTCGCTCTCCACGTATTTATTCACATAATTTTTTATGAGAAAATTTTCGATATATAAAGAAGTTCCTAATTTTGAAAAGTTTGCATCAAAACAATTAACAAATATATTAATTGGTAGAAAAAATATCACAAAAATGCACATCAATTGCTTCATGTTAAAACTTGTGCGCAACTGAATGCTTTTATAAAAATAATGGTAAGTTTTGGTACTTTCAAACATGAGATTTATTTAAAAAGTTTAATTATAAATACCTTACGTAAAAACAAGTGTTTAATTATTTAATTGATTTCTAAAAAGTTTAATATACAGTATTTTACTATAAAGTATATTGTAGTTAATAAATCAGTGAATCTCACAAATAGCAATTTTTTTATTAACATGGTATCATTAAAACTGAAAATATAAAAAATTATTAGGGTTATATTACATAATTATATAAATAACATAAACATGATCAAAACCATGAACACAAATAAAAATATTATTTCTAATTCATTAAAATAAGTAAATTCAGACATATTTATCCAGTAAATTATATTGATCATGGTCGAGAGCGCACGGCTTGCGGAACTCTTGCCGGGCGTCGAGTATCCATTTGGTGGCAATCCATTTGGCGCCCACCAGTACAGGACAGCCACCGTGAAGGGTATACATGTCCACATAGCCCGATGCTTTTAGATTATACCAGAACAGGGCGGCCCCTTTCATCGGCTTAATGGCCACGTTGAGTTTGGGAAAAATGGTGTCACCGCCCGCGTCCACATCGCTCAAGTAGTTGATCCAAGTGGCCACACGTTTCAGATCCTGGGCGTACACCCGGTCACCAACAGTGGCCCCATTGGGTGCGACCACATCGTAGTGGTAGGCGTAGTGACCGCCGACGCCGTACTTAATAGCGTTATAGCTGTCGGCACTCATGGCGTCCAACCCCGTGATGGCTGAGATACGTCGGGTGAG